TTGTTGTGTTGGAGCCTGGAGGTCATAAGTTCGAATCGTGCTAGTCTTATTTTCTTATGTTTTTTAATTAAAGTAAAATCTGCTAACATGGCATTCCATGTCAGCAGTTATTGCCAAGTAAGCATCTGAGATGGGTTGTGACTGGAAAACCTGATAAAAGGGCAAAAATAACAAAATCAATGCAAATTTGTGGTATAAACAAACCTAAAAAACAACTTTGGACAAAAACGAAAAAAAGCTGTAAACTTAGGGTTTTTATGACATTAACCCTAAGCTTTTCAAAATCAGATAAATTATATGGAAACTCTTTTGGAACATAATATTTAAGATATAAAAATTTGTGTAAAAAAACTTTAACATATAAAAATTTGTGTAAAGAAAACTTTAATATAATGGAGATACATTCATGTTTTTGGTTTGTTAGTTTGGTGTTTATTTATTTTTTATTATTTTTTTGAACAACAAAAGATAGATTTTATTTAAAAAAAACTAGCATAAAGCTAGACAAAACAATTACAAATGCATCATGTCAATATGTTGTAAGGATAGCCAACGTCTTGTGGGTTATCAACAACTCTATGGAGTATCAACAATTCTAATGGGCTAACAACATGCCATGGATCTATCAGTAGCTCAATAACACATAAGAACAATCAGCAAATAAGACTCAACTAGTCAGCATGTACATATACTTTGGCATAAGTAATACAGTGAGAAGACTCACCTGAATGAAGAGCTGGAAATCCACTACTCGAAGTCCTACAGCATCAGCTACACGAACCTCCTAAACCATACATAAGCTAAACCTCAGGTTATAGCTTAACACCCTTCAAAGTTTGACCAAAAGTCAAACTGGTCAAAGTCAAAGTCAACGGTTAACGATGAAAGTTAACATCTAGACAACTCCCACGTCCTGACCACTCATTGGTCACGTTGTGGCATATTCACGTCAAAACAGTCGCAATGGCAACAATCGTCATGTCATGGAAAGCAGGCTGCCACGTCGTGAAAGTTGAACTCCTACAACTTAAAACCTCCCTTTCATACTTTCCAGAAGACTTTCTTACTTCTATTCCAAACTAAAAATCGTTGTTTGCATACATGCATGCCCAATGCAAGTCTAGAACTTAAAGTAGGTCAAAATGGATAAATAATACCAAAATCTCATTTATGGAGCTCAATACTCAATCAAACTTCAGATCTAAAAGATATAGAGACCAAAGGGCCAAGGTGAGCTATAAAGTTGCAACTTTATCTCATCTAACCAACCCAAACTCGAAGATGAGCCAAGAAATGCAATAAATCCTAGATATATGGAGAGAACCAAAAAGGTGGAAGCTTTATGCCATCCCAAGCTCCACCAGATGCAGGAGATGCAAGATCTGGAGTGATACACTCTTCCAACTAGCAAGCATACCATCCCCTTCTTCTTCAAGGGCTAAAATCACCACAAAGAGGTCACAAGGTCAATATGAAGGCTAGGGTTTCTTGGAGGGTGAAAGGGAGGTGATGGATACTGGGGGTGTGCAAACCCTAGCCCTCACTTCCCTTAAATAAGGGCACAAATTCTGGAATTAGAGTTAAATACTCAGGTGGCCAGCACGTTGTGACCAAAGGCTTGTCACGTTATGACGTACAAGATGAAAACGCGCTTAAACAAATATTTCCATGTCGTGGTAACTCATGTCCCACGTCGTGGCACATAGTTTTTCCTAAAAACTCTATATATTTGATCCTATTAAGTTTTTAGTTGCTCCACTTTGGGAAACGGGTGTTGCACTGAAAGAACCGCAAGAGAAAATTTGCATAGATTATCAGTATTGTTGAAACATTTAGTAACATTTATTTGTGGAAACCTTCGTTGAATGATATGCAACTACTATATGCGGGACATAAAGAGTGACATGGTTTGCCCAGTATGCTTGAAAGCATTGATTGTACACATTGAGATTGGAGAAATTGTCTCTATGCATGGAGAGGATAATTTGAAAGGGTTCTAACAACTATATCAACTTCTTGATCAATCACCAATATTCAACAATATTTTTTTAAGAAAGGCACTAGCTGCTCCTTTCATAGTGAATGAAAATAAATATAAGTTTGAGTATTACATTACACGTGGAAGATATCCTACGTATTCCACATTCGTGAAAGTATTTCAACACCCAGTGAAACCAATAATTTTTTTTCAATAGAAGATAAAAAGGCAACATGTAAAGATGTGAAACGTGCTTTTGGAGTTCTAAAGTCAAAGTAACACATAGTAGAACATGTGACACAACCATATGAGATATAAAATCTATAATATATTATGTATGCACATATCATAATGCGTTACATGACAATGGAAGATAAACTATGAAATATTGCATAATATATGCCAATGGAGCCGCAACATATGCAATTTTAGCTATGTTCAGTGAAATATTTACATAGAATCGTTGATATTCAAGACGCACAATAAAACTAACAACTTCGAACAACTTCGACATGACTTGACAGATCATATCTACGATGCAGACGATGATGACAAGTAGTGTATTTAGAAAAAAAAAGTATGTAATTTTTATTTTGGTATTACAATGTCTTTTATCAATTTAAACGTTATGTTTTTATTTAAATAATATTTTTATTTAAATTAATTTATAAAATTATATTTAATTTTATAATTATTTAAAAAAAATCAAGAAAAAAAGTAAAATAAAAATGATCACATGAAAATTATTTTAGTGTAGAAATGTGGTGACCATTTCCTACCAAAAAATATAGTTTGGAGGATAAGGTGGCAAATGATGTTAAGATGACTTGTTTGGACTAACCTTAGAAAATGATTGCTTTTCATTGTTAATGGTTGCTTAATTTTCAAACAAATTCGATTAAATTTACCCAAAACAAATTAATCCGCTTCAAGGCACACTCTAGTTACTACTAGTTTCTTATAAACATCCAATCGACTGGAGCGGAAAATGTGAAAGTAATTTTCCCAAAAAACCATATGAAAAAATGTTAAAACTGTATTTTAAAAACCAAAATAAAAGAATATGAGTATTTCCCACGATTGTTTGTATTCAATTAGACGTGAACAAAAAGATATGTCTCTAAATGGTCCCCAAAAAAAAAAACTAAGACACCGAAAAAAAGATTGGTCCCAAAAAAAATGAACTGAGACCATTTGGGATACGTATGGAAAAAAAACTAACTGTTTCAAGACGAGTCTAAGACGGAGACCAGTCTCGAGAAAATTGGAGGTAAAGTTTATATACATATCATTCTTATGTTAATTATATATTTTTTAATCAAATATAAAGGTTTAAACAAAAGTTTATTTAAATTTAAAATTTAAAATTTGAATTTAAAAGAAAATATATTAAATACTATATGAGTTGTAATATTGTAATTTATTGGTTATTTTCAGTTAAGACAATTTTTAATTAAGGTGTAAATATGATGTGTTAATTAAGAAAGATAAAAAAAAAATGAGAAAATAACAAATGGAAAAAACATTTATTCAAAAATACCACAAAAAGTGTTAAAACTCATAAGAGATTGACATGTGGTAAAAAAAACATTCATTTATTAAGGAGGATTTACATTTCTAATAAATCTTGTTTTATTATGTTTTTATTATTAATTTTTTTAGATAAATATCAAAATTCATTAAATTCTTTTTTTATCATTTACCTTTTATTTTACTTCTTTAAAATATCATATTGTTTCGTTTAAGTACTTTAATTAATCAAGATGATTAGATATTTTTATTTTTAATTATTATTTCACCCCATTAAATCTAAATAATATATTTTTATTTTTTTAATTAAAATATCCCACCTTAAAACTTGAATTCTAATTATATATTCACCCATATTCTTTATTATACCCTTTTTAAAAATAAATAAACGAAAAATGATGCGTTACACAAACGGAAAATATCAGTGCACTTCGTTTCTTCGTCGTATTTGCACTTATCATGAGGAAAGTCTGGATCATATCTGATGCTAAAAAAAAAAAAAGGTTATAGAGCGCCCATTTATGGGATTTATATGTGTCCATTATTACGGTTTGTTGGAGTATTTGAAAGTTTGAAAATGAAATGTTGTTTGTAGCAGTTAAGCCAAAGAAAATGGGATTGTTTGATTCCATTGTTCCCTAATCTTTGTTTTGGATATTAAATATGAACGTTATACTTAAATCTGATTGGGTAGGTTCTTATAAATTCCTATGTTAGCCATTCGGTCATTGTAATTCTTTGTAATTTTACTAGCGATTCCTTAGTCTTATAATCAAATTCAACCATTATTATTATTATTATTATTTTTTTTAATTTAGAAGATACGTGTGCAATTATTAGACAATAGATAGTTTTCATTGCTACAAGTTGGATGATATTAAACAGAATCGGTCGAAACCTGATTAAAAGTAACAAATTAAACAAGCTCGATTTAAATTCGAGTTCAATTACTAGTAGTTTTTCATAAACATTTAAATAATAAAAGTTAAAAAAAATGTTAAAATATATTTTTAGTAGTTATTTAAAAAAAACTGGTTTAAGGGGAATAGACTCGAGGCTTAGTTATGCACAAACCGATTGAGGACCATCACAAATGAGTTATGTGGTCATGAATTATGATATTCTAGGATTTTTTTAGCTAAATTAGGAGGTGTTTGACAAAAAAAACTTATTATTTATTAGCTTATAGTTATTTAGCTTATTAATTAAAGCAAGATAACCTATTAAAAAAATGATTTTTTTAATGATGATCATAACATTTTTTTTAAGCCTATAACAATATGAATCTGTCAATAAACTAATAAGTTCTTTAAATAAGATTAGCCAGACACCACCTTACTAACCATACACATCCATAATTATTATAGGATATTTTTTGTAATTTGCCTTTAACAAAAATAATACAAAAATATGAACTCCTATTATTGGGTCAAATTCAAAGCCCAATAGATATATTTGGACCGTAGTTACGCTTTTAGGCCCATTGCTGTCACAGAAGATGATACATCAGTGACTGATCAGTCGTCGACTCGCCGTCAATCGTCAATTCATCTCCGACGATAAACGGAACCCAAAACGTTTACAAAGATTTCTATTGTGTTTGCATATAACAGAATGGGTTTCCGGCGCCTTCTAATAGAGGTTTGTTTAATCTCCATTGATATCGAAAACTTCGTTTGTTTAATTTTTCATATAAATTTGTGCCTTTTATTCTCAGATCCATGTCAGCTATATCTTAGTGTTACGAGAACCCTGATTCAGCTCCCCGTTTGATTTTAAAATGATTATTTTTCAATTGGTTGAAAACTCGAATCAATGGACTAGGTTTACGAAATCACATCCAAAGACGAACATGAACAAGGGTTTAGGAAAGGGTTTATCTTACACATTTCACGAAAATTCATCTGGGGGAAATATAATTCCATTTTCATTAGGGTTATTGATTTATTGCAAATGACGTAAATGGAGGCAGTTTCATTTCTTGCTTTCAAGTTGTTTTCATGACTATTTCATCATCATGATCAGCCCTAACCTAACCGAAAAAAATCGATGCTAAACATTAGAACAAATATTATAATCAGACTAATGTGAGTGTTGAAGACAGATAACAAAATCCGATACTCATGCTGTTTATCTGATAAAAACTGTATATTTTATAGGTGTCGAGGCATCACTCACAATGTAGGCAAATTAGAAACATACATTCATGTTCTTATCACACATCACTGAAATTTGGAGTCAATGGAGGTTTAAATCACCCTATCAAGAACACAACTTTCAGCATTCCAACAAGCTCAATGATGTTGTCAAGGGCATTATACTCTTCAGATGCAAGCACAATTGAAGTTAATCCCACAGGTAAGTTATCTTGATTGCATTTAAAGTTCACAAACTGTTCATTCGATGAAAAAGGGTATTTTTGTAATAAAAAAACTGTTTATTTCTTTTCACTCCAGATGCTGCTAAAGAATTGTATGATAAATTGCTCAAATCTGTAAAGGAACAAAGAACTGCACCTCCCAACAATTTGTTATGGAGCCTCATAGAAAAAAGTTCCAATCGTGAAGACATCAAACTTCTATTCAACATATTGGAAAACCTTCGAAAATTCGTTAGTTTTTTTCTTCTCATGCTTTAATCAATTTGTTTTATTTTAAATTTGAAGTAATTTGCTATTAACTAATATGTTTTAATCACAGAGACTCTCAAATCTTCGAATTTTTGAGAATTTTAATGATAATCTTTGTCGGGAAGTATCAAAGGCATGTGTTAGAGTAGAGGCTATTGATCTTGGTATGATATAAACATGACCCAATGAAATTAAAAAATATTAAATTGTCAAACTAAAAAAAATAATCTTTTTTTTTTAAAAAAAAAAAAAAATATCAAAAACAGGAAAAAAGACATTATGGAAACACAATGTATACGGATTAACCCCTAGCGTTGCATCTGCTCACAGTTTACTGGTATTATTTTATTTCTTTAAAAATCTTTTTATTTTTTTCATTTTTCATTCTTGATTTTACTTGTTAAAAATCAAGATTTGTTGCAGTTGTATGCTAAAGAACACAAAGATGTTGATCTTATGGTGGATGTAATGAAGCTTTTGAAAGCAAATGATGTCCCACTGCAACCTGGAACAGCAGATATCGTCTTTAGGTGGGACCCACACAATACAAAAATTGAGAAAAATGTTTTAAACGAATAAAAACCTATTTATTTATTCAATTATATTAATACATCAAGTCTCTTTCATGCAGCATTTGCTATGAAACAGATAGCTGGGAGTTGATGTGTAAGTACGCAAAAAGATTTGTGAAGGCTGGAGTGAAATTGAGACGAACTTCATTTGATACTTGGATGACATATGCTGCCAAATTAGGTGTTAATTTACGCTTTTACCCTTAATGATCCTTAACTTTAACACCAATTTTATAAGGGTACATCAGTCAAGTCATGGAAAATAAGCATGGGAACTTTATTTGATACTTAGATGATGACATTACATTTTTGCCCTTAATGATGCTTAATTTTAACACCACTGATATAGGGGTAAATTAGTCAAGTCATGAAAATCTATTTTTACAGGAGATATTGATAATTTGTGGAAAATTGAGAAACTGAGATCTGGATTGATGAAAACACATACAATTGGAAGTGGATTTTCATGTGCAAAAGGGTTTTTAATTGAACATAAACCAGAAGAAGCAGCTGTGGTAATTCAAGCTGTCACCCAGGTATTGTTAATGTTTCTTTTAATTTACAAATTCCACAGGGGCAATATTGTCATTTTACATCTTTTTACTTAATGACAGACTTTACCGGAGGCGAAAAGGCCAGATATAATGGCGGAACTTGAGAAGATGGTTAGCGAGTGGCCTTTGGAGGTCATAAAGAGCCGGAAAGATGAGGACAAAATGGTAATTTAATGTGGTATTGAAGTTGAGATGATAAGGGCAATATGGTAATTTACTGTTTTTTTGTTTTTTTACGTTTCCAGGCCTTGGCTGGTGGTTTGCAAGCTGATATCCCTGTGATGATTGATAGTCTTTTGAGGTTGGGTGTGAAGACGAATGTAAAAGTGGATGATTTGACCAAAATAGCCTTTTGAGAGTTAGAATTTTGATGTTTTTAAGGTAACCTTGACCGTTGTACAAGTTAAAGTTGACTTTTTTTTTTTTTTTTTTTTTTTTTGTGCACACTTAAGACTTGATTGTGTGTTTTGACAATTTAAAAAGAAGAGCAATTGTAACAATTGATAATTGCTAGATAAAATAGATAAATGGTCATTGTATTTTGTTCTGTTGTTTTTTCGTTTCATATATTGAGTAGAAGAAATTGATCAATCTATACATGAATTCTTAATAAGAGGTTAGGATGAAGAGAAAAAAAAAGAATTTAAATCTGGCTTTGTTGACTAATTTGATTTTTTATAAATTAGTATCACTTATCGACTAACGTAAAATTTTTAGCATATTAATTAGTAATATGGGCTGATTATTAATCAAGAATATATGAGGTGTCATACATATTGTCATGAAAAGAAAATAAGACACCTCTATTTTTGTGTAGTAGAAAAACAAGAAATGATATGATCGAATAACTATTATTTCGTGCAGTATAATTAAGAGTTTGTCGGCTAATAAAGATTAAGTCTTTGTTTTGTTGTTGCAGTTTGTATTTATTTTTTCGTTCAAATAATTAGGTTTTTTTTTTTGGTAAAAGTTTATTCTTTTATTTTTACTAATGTACTTTTTTTTTTTCGTTCAAATATTTAGTTGGCTATAAAAATCTATTTTGGTATTTTTATTTTGTTAAGTAGATGTAAATTTTGTTATTTTAGACTATTAGTAATCAATTGAATGGACAAAGGTTCGGCGAAGGAAACCGACATATCATAATAATTCAACCAACAACACTCTAACAAATATGTACGTTAAGGGTTCCCCGAAGGGATAAGGAAAGAAGAGCTAAGAAAGTCGTTTTCATGATTTGGGCATGCTGCCGATGTGTACATGGGGGGAAAGAAGGATGCCTGCAGATGACGATACCAACGACTAAAGCTCGTTGGCACAACAAAACCACCACATGTTATGCTCCACAACCACCCCATCTACCTTTTAGCCATCGTGATAAAAGGACATTCGCCCAAGTTGCTGCTAATAGAGAAAGTCATTCTCGTAAACCACCAACCCCTATAGCAACTCTTAACCCGAAACATACATGAAAGACTGGATAAGAAGAAGCGTTATGTTTGGGGAAGCTCATAGCCTGGATCACATTGGTAGTATGCAAACATCATGGCTTATGAGTGATGACACAAAATATTTGGGGGGACTTAATATAGCCATGAGCTTCAATCAAGAGACCAAAGCAACAAAATTCCTTGAAGATAAAGAAAGATGAAAATATTGGTTTAAATGGATGGTACCTGGATATAAAAATGAAATACGGTATGAATGAATCGCTTGGTTAAAAGTTCTTGGATTACCAATTAAGCTTTGGGACAAATCAAACTTTTCTGCAATGGGTAGAGTCATAAATCCTTTTGACGGCATTCGAGATCGCAGAGACTACTCAATGAGTAAAGTGGGTGTCCTCATGTCTAAGAGGACTTGGATTAACGAGGAAATCATGATTATCGAGGTGAGACTATAATAGTGGGGGTTGTTGAATACATTGATGACTGGTCTCCCTTCAAATCGTTGTCTTTTAACAAAGTAGAGGATGAGAGTGTTGATGAATATGACAAGGATGAAACTATTTCTGAAACTTGGACGTAGGAGGATGAGAAGGATCTTGAAGAAGATGAAATCTGCATAGATAATAGTAATAAGGATTCTGAGTTTGGTAACAACAATGGTGGTTCAAGCAGTGTGAGAAAAGATGACACCAACAAACCTCCGATGGAGGAACCATCATATTGGCCACCGACGTTCTACTCTCCAGGAAACATTGGCATCAACGATGGAGTTAATGTGCATGAAGACAATTTTGAGGTAGTAGCGACGATTGAAATTCCCCAAACAAAGGAGATTAGGATGTCAAATCAACCCCCGATGACGGCTAATAATATGACAACACTCCTCACTTAGACCCCATTAATCACCGACTTATATGGGAATGAGCAAGTGTTGGGCTAGACTTTTTCCCCATCATACACTTCAGGTGGAGCCATACTCGGGGGTGTTTGGATAGGAAAAAAGAGAGTGCTTATTACTTATTGCTTATGCCCACCACACTAAGCTAAGTTTAAGTGTTTGGATAAAGTCCTTAAAAATCAGCTTATTGTGTTAGAAATAAGCTAAATAAGATAATTCTAATAATCATCTCCCCTTGCTTATTGCTTATTCCCACCACAAATAAGCTAATCCAAACACCCCTTTAATAAGCTACCTCTTAGGTGTTTCGGGCCCTTCCCAAACTCTAGTGGCCCAATTGTTTTTAAATCCCCGATCCATGATAATAATTCTCCGTCAAACGCTAAAACCAACAACAATAGTCCTAAAATTAAAAAGAGAAAAATGAATAAATCATGTAATTTATCCTCAACTCATTGTTTTATTCCAACGACGACCACTTTCCTTCCTCCTACTATTTCCATCAGACTAGAGCATGCCCCCTCAATCGATCTTAATTAAAACCCAGCTAATGGAACTCCTCATGGAGGACGAGAATTGTGTGAATGGATCTGTTTCAAATAAGATGGTTCATTCAATAGAAATTGGTTTCGAAGTGGGGTTTCAACTTAACAAGAACAATCTAGTTCTTGCGCAAGCCATGGGTGACATTGGTGGAAAAATTCTTGACCAATGAACTGTCCCTCTCAAAACGTGTGTGGAATGGGGACAAATTAAATCAATTGGGTTAAGAGACTACATAAAACGCACAAAATCAACTTCATGGGGATTCAAGAAACTCAAATGTCAGATTTTTCTAGTATAAATGTGAAGGGTATTGGGAATCATACGAATTCGACTATGATGGTGTTAACTCTAGTAGGCGATATGGGGGGCTCATCCCCATTTGGAACACATACTTTTTTCAAATAATTGACGTAATCAAATCTCGCCACTTTCTGATTGTCAATGGGAAATGGAAAGAGATTGACGGGAACACCATCTTCGCCAATTTCTATCGTCCATAATCGGTGAATGATAAACAAACTTTATGGGATGAACTACTCAACATCCACCAAGTAGAAAGAGACAATGGATCTTATTCGGCGATTTCAATGTGGTCAGATGCGAAAGTGAAAGATCCAACTCAAGCTTTTGTTCCACTAGTTCCCAGACATTTAACACGTTCATCCTTAATGTTGGTTTTATTGATTATAACATGGGTGGGGAGAAATTTACATACATGAGTCCTATTGGTGAAAACTCAGTAACTTAGATAGATTCCTAGGATGTTCAAACTTCTTAGCCAAGTTCCCTATTGTCTTTGCCACTGCTCAGCCCCAGGGACTCTTCCATCACTTCCTGATCACACTAACATCCTCTCTGGATAACTTTGGTCCACCGCCTTTTAAGTTCTACAATTCTTGGTTACTTAAAGATGGACTAGACATTTAGACCATATTATCCTCAATGATTGGAACTCCTTTGATGGCTATAGCCTACCAGATGCTTACTTAGCAGCAAAATTCAAACATCTCAAAGGCGAAATAAGATAGTAGAGGAATGAGGAGAGACAAAAAGAAAATTAGGAGGCACTCGAGCTAAAGGAGATGATCACAAAATTAGAGAAAGAGACTGAAACAATAAGTTTAACAAAAGATGAACTCAAAATCCGTTGCAATTGCTAAATTGGCGGCTTTAGACCTGAAACAAAGATCTCGTATCAAGTGTTTATTGAAGGGGACAAAAACTCAAAATTCTTTCATGGTTTCATCAATAATAAAAACCAAAAATATAGGATCAACGGCTTAAATATTAATGGTAAATGGTCTACTAGTGTGAAAAGATCAAGAAAGAGGCGTTCCGATTCTTTAAAAACAAATTTCATGAGCCATGGAGTTCTCGTCTCAAACGTATCTATACTCAGTTTCATGCCATAACCATGATGGAGGTGATAAGGATGGAAGCCCAAATTAGTTGTGAAGAGGCCAAATAAGTTGTTTGGGCTTGCGGAAGCGAGATGATGCTTGGACCCGACAGGTTCACCTTCAAACTCATCAATCAATTTTGGAGCCTTATTTCACCTGATGTGATACATTTAATCTGTCATTTTGAGGATCCTGGTACTCTTTCCCTAGGATGTAACTTCTTATTCATTACGTTGGCTACTAAAACAAAAGATCCTGCCTCATTAAACGACTTTCGTCCCATCAGTCTTATTGTTTGTCTCTATAAGATTATATCAAAGATCCTTGGCAATTGTATCAAAACCTTCATTGGGGGCATTACTGGGGATGTCCAATCCACTTACGTTGAGGGCCGTAACCTCTTGGATGGCTCATTAATTATTAATTAAATCTATTCGTAGGCCAAGAAAATGAAGGCACTGTTATTCAACGTTGATTTTCACAAAGCCTTTGATTTAGTTAACTTTAACCGGAATAATCTTGATTCAATCCTTGATCATAGGGTTTTGGAAGTGAATGGAAAGCATGGATTCGAGGCTGCCTCTCATCATCCAAAGTGTTAGTCATTGTGAATGGATGCCTTACCAATGAATTCAATCTTTTTAGGGGTGTGTGTGCCAAGGCGACCCCTTATCCCCATTTCTATTCATAATTCCCATGGAAGGCTTAAACTTAGCACTCAAAATAGCTGGTGAAAAGGGTACCTTCAAAGGTATTCAACTTCCAGGTAATGGATCGATGATATCACACTTTTTTTTACACTGATGACGCGTTATTCATTGGTGAATGGTCCAGATCCAATCTGAAGAATCTTGCTTGTATTCGAAAGTCTTTTCACGCATCACCTGGACTTAAGGTGAATTTTATAAGTCAAAGGTGTTTGGGATATGCGTTTCAACCCCTGAAACAAACAATTGGGCAAACATCCTTGGCTACAGTGCTGGTACTCTCCCCTTTACCTACTTGGGGGTCCTCGTTTGTCAACATGAAGCCAATCAAAAGTTGGAAACGTATAATTCATAAATTCCATTCCAAACTGTCTAAGTGGAAGTCTAAGACACTCTCATTTAGGGGTCGATTAACAGTCATAAATTCAGTGTTAAGCAACCTTCCTATATACTATATGTCACTATTTATTTCCCCTTGTGGGGTTATGGAGACACTTAAGAAAATCAGCACAAAGTTTCTTTAGGGTGGTAACAAAGACAAGAACAAAATTCATTGGGTTGCATGGGATAATGTTCTCGCTTCCAAAGAAGTCAGTGGTCTAAGGGTAGGGTCCATCTGTACTCCAAATCATAGTTACTAGGATCACTTTTCCCCCTACGTTTTTCATTCCATATCGTACGGTCTAGAAACGGGACCAATTGCGATCCAATTGCTTACTTGATCGCGACCCAATCGCATAATCGTTTGACCCTAATCGCTTGAACTGTCGATTCTATTACATTAAGGATCGCGATTTCAATATACTCAATTCGTCGCTCCATCAATTTCTGGAATGACGACCCATCAATTTCAGGAACGTCGATGGGAAAATTGAAGATCTAAAAAAAACATCATCGACAGCTGAAATGTTGGTTCCAGAATTGGGGAACCCAAAAAAAGAACAACGATCATGAGGTATGGGGAACCAAAATCAATTACGCAATTCTATCACTCTATTTCATATTCACTGTCTTGTTCTACACCTTCAAACATCAACTCCTCTACTCCTCCATTCTTTACGTTCTTTATTCTTCTCGATTTCTTTTTTGGAAAAATGGTATTTGGTAAAAATAATCCCGTTCCAAATAGAGTTGATGTTACCTTGACTGATTCTGATAATGAAGATGGAGTTCTAGGCGATCCAGAAAGTGTTGAAGTTCCTCATGTTCAAGCTTCCAAGGTTGATAAGCCCTTGTTGCAGGAATTGGACATAAGGGGGTTCAAAGAAATGGGTGTGTAAGCACTGCCATAAAATGTTTACCAGGTCTTATACTAGAATTCATGTACACTTTTTTGGTGCTGCAATTGGGAAAGCACCAGAAATCAAAAGGTGTCCTGCTATACTCAAGGATCGGGTTAAATATCAAAGCTTGTTAAACAGATTAGATGCTGCAGAATCAAAAGGTATTTCTAAGTCTTTGAAGAACTCTGTAATTAATAAAAAATAGAGTTCTACTTCTAAATCTAAAAAACCACTCGAAGATTCTTTGGGTATGATGGAAAGAAACACAGTTTGTATGAAACACAGTTGATATGAAGATTATGAGAGCACTATGTGCTAATGGCATTCCTTTCAATGTTCTACGTAATCCTCAATTTCAAGAGATGATAACAGCCATAAACAGGGCACCTTCTGGTTATACGGCTCCTTCATATGATAAAGCTCGAACCGTTTTGCTTGACGAGTGTGTGACAGATGTGGAAAAGGGGCTAACTTCAGTGAAGGATACATGGTATACACAGGGGGTTTCTATTGTGTCGGATGGCTGGTCTAATGTTAAACATCGACCATTGATCAATGTTATTGCTACCAACAGCTATGGAGCCATGTTTATGTATGCAGAGGACTTTTCTGGTGTAGAGAAGATAGGAGCATCAATTGTAAACTTCTTGTTTGAAGCCATAGAAACCGTAGGACTAAGGAATGTTCTACAAGTTGTTACCGACAATGCAACAAACTGTAAGGCTACCGGAAAGGAGGTGGAGAAGGTACATAAAGAAAATTTCTAGTCTCCTTGTTGTGTCCATACTTTGAATTTAGTTTTTAAAGATCTTGCAATAGATTCTTTTTGGCTAATGGACACATATAGGAAAGGAAAAATAGTTGTTAAGTATTTTCTTAACCACACCCATGCATTGGCTATTTTTAGAGATAATTCAGAATTTGAATTGTTAAAAGTAGCCAAAACAAGATATGCATCTCATTATATTTTGCTGAAAAGGTTATGGGATTGTGGAGAGTCTCTTGCTACTACAATTGTCCTTACTTCATGGAGAGAATAGTTGAAAAATAAAGATGAA